GCTCCTCTAATGCATACACACATGAATATATAAAAACACACTTCTTATATATCAGGGGACATTAGATGAATATACCAAAAATACGCTGTATCAAACTTTCACTTCAAACTTTCAAGTTATTTCAATTTTCCCTCAATTCCTCAACAATACTCAGATCAATAGGAGACAGAGGTGTTAAGTTAAAAATCAAGGGTTTTTTATTATTATTTACAGCAGGGGTGGGGAACCTTTTTCCTTTACAACGACCTTAAAATCAAATCTAAAATCACAGCCCATTCATTTCACCTTTCTTTCATGCTGTGCAAAGAAAAAGCAACCTCTTAATCCAGATATCTCACCATGACTCACGTATGCATGTGCACGGTGTGGCATGACCACCAAAACAGAAAGATATGGACACAAGATATGTGCAAATGTATTTAGTATCTTATCCATGTGAACATGATTTAAGTGGGGGGGGACCTAACCTTCTCTAGGGGGGTCCGGGGGCATGCTCCCCCGGGAAGATTTTTTTTTAAATATTGAAGTTAAAAGCATCAATCTGGTACACTTTGAGAGCAACATGAGGAGATCTATGGATACATCTTTCAACACCCATATGAAACTGTAAGCATATTTTTCTTTTTGGATATTTTACAAATCACTCCCCTTTTAAACTCTATTCTTGAATTTTTAACAACTTTTTTGTTACTGTCATATAGTATTTTATACCTGTTTTTTCATTTAGTCTCTAATGTCTCATTAATAACTATAATGATCATATCAAGGTGTGCCTTAACCTCACTGAGCTGAGGTTATTTGAGCCTCTCAGGAGATAGCTCTTTTCCACCTGGTTGTAGAAAAGTTCTTTAAATTCGTTAGCATAGCTAGCTAACCAGATGCTAACAACAACAGATCGCCACTGTGCTTACAACTAAAGACACAGCCACGCAAACACTGCGGCATGTGTACGGACTGACGGACAGACTCCCCCCCCCCCCAAAACAAAAACTCTTCGGTTCTCCACGATTACACAAAAATCCCCTATTAATGTATTGATTATAGCTCCGGGTCCGTATAGGTCGGCGTCTGGGTCCGGATCCGGACCGCGGTCCGCCTGTTGCTGACCCCTGGTCTATACGCTAAACTAACAGCACATATTTCTGCTATACATGACACACATTAGATTGATATAAATCTTCTATCCCTCAAGAAGAAATACAGGCTTTTCCCAAATATATAACTACACTGAACAAAAATATAAATGCAACACTTTTGGCGTTAGGGTTAGGGTTAGGGTAATATTGTGAATCGAGTGGCCTGTGTTCGTCGTCCATAACATACACCTGCCCATACCATAACCCCACCACCACCATGGGCCACTCGATTCACAACATTACCCTAACCCTACCCCTACCCCTCACACCAGATACTGACCGGTTTTCGGACCCCCCCCAGACCCCCCCAATAAAGCAAAACTGCACGTTTCAGAGTGGCCTTTTATTGTGGCCAGCCTAAGGCACACCTGTGCAATAATCATGCTGTCTAATCAGCATCTTGATATGCCACACCTGTGAGGTGGGATGGATTATCTCGGCAAAGGAGAAGTGCTCACTATCACAGATTTTTTCAGATTTGTGAACAATATTTGAGAGAAATGGTAATTTTGTGTATATAAAATATGTTTTAGATCTTTGAGTTCATCTCATGAAAAATGGGAGCAAAAACAAAAGTGTTGCGTTTATATTTTCGTTCAGTGTAAATATATATGTCACACCTGCACAATTTCTCCTGTCAGTATTCCATAGACCAGGAAGTGTTGTTTTTACATGTTTGTTCTGTCAAAAATGATTTTAGAGGTGTGATGCACATTTTTTAAATGTTGGATTAAAGAGCCTGACAGCCTCCCAACAACTGTTGTGCAATGAAATATTGGGCTACTAGTCATCTCGAACCGTCAGTTTAAAAAAGAAGGTGCGATACCGTTCCGATAAATATCAATAATTTCGAACATCGTGGGGAAATTCCTTCGACTCATTTTGAAGTTTTGAGGGAAGCCGGAAGGGACGTCAATGCGGGAACGCTTCACTGTGCGGCGAGAGAGCCAAACACGGACAAAGTGTGTTGTCATGCGTAGAAATGGTGAATTACTGAGTTTAGGCACGTTAATAACGTTGTAATGAAGTTGACTACAGTATATTTATATTTGTCAGTGCTTTCATGTCAATTCGGCGAACATAAACATAAATGATCGTGGTGAAGATGATGATTACATTAGGATTACAAATCGGTAGTGAGAGCTGCTGAATTTCCTCCCGTCGGATGTGATATAAAAACAAATCGATTATTTTTGTAGTTGTAAACTCAAGTGGATGAAACTACATTTATTAGTGCTTTCATGTCAATTCGGCGAACATATGATACATTAAATGATCGTGAGGATGATGATTTAAAAATCGTTTGTTTGAGCCGGTCTGCATTTCCTGATGAGAAAACAAACCGATGCTTTTTGTAGTTGTAGTACACCAACATGGATTAAACATGTGTTTTTTTTACCACAATGTTGGGGAAATTAATGGATAAAATGCACGGATTATTATTATTATTATTATTCCCACTCCGATCGGGACACTAGGTCCACCGTTTCCCCGCAGCGAGGCTCCCCCCGTTGACAGTTTACGTGGGCTGGGCTGGGTGCAGTGGCGGACCGGATAAGTCACTAGCACATCCCCCACTCCCCCCGTTGACAATTTACTAGCGGTACCGAAGTGGGCCGGTCGAGAGTCCCGGGCTGATTTTTAGTCCCAGTCCACTACAAAGCACATTTTCCGCTCGTGAGTAGCTTGTTTTACGCGCTAGAATATTGACCCAAATCTGACTCCATACCTAGAGAGATAAGAGTTACGACACTCCCATAGACCTCCGTTTTAAAAAATGGCGGCGCCTACTTCCGGGGTATGGACATCGAAATAGTTCCAAATATTGTCATTTGGGCGTTGGACCTCATTCACTTACATTACGGCGCGTCGATTAGTTCCAGAGGTAAGTTCAGTGGCGACTAGTCATTAGGGGCAGGTGGGGCACAGCCCCACCTAGTGTCAGCAGAAAGTATTAAAAGTAATGATTACAAAAAAATGCAAAAGATAAATTAAAAAAAATATAAAATATATTTTAAGATCATGTTTATTCATCTGATTCGTCTGTACATTGCTGTTTTAGTCTGTGTTCTTCTAATTAGTGTCTACAGTGTGTGCCTATTGAGCTGTTTAGAGCCATGTGGGACAAAACCCGATCCTGCCCCTCCCTCTCCCTGTTTAAGTCAATGGTGACTGTAAAAACTACACTGCGCATGCTCAGAGTATTGTCCTATTTAATGTGTGTGGCAAAAAAATAATGACCATAGGGGCATAGTGCTGCCATCCCCACCATACGTCATCTCACATAATTCAGAGCTGATTGGCTGTAAGTACGTGTGCCGCGAAAAGTGTGGTGTGTGAAGAGGAGGAGAGAGAGCTGCAGTGAGGCGTCCTAAAACCCGGAAATAAACTGCGCATGGCTTCCCTCCACAAAAAAGCAATGATATTTCTCCATAGGATTTTAGAAAATAGCTCCAAATAAGATCTTTGGGAAACAAACCTGTTAGATAAATGCACGTTTTGTTCAGCCGGATAATATCCACATGTCTACCCTACTTTTATAATTTTCGAATCATAAATCTATTGATTAGATCAGATTTATGATAGACTTTTGAAACTACAAGAACATAAGGAGGACTTTTACAAAAAAGTAATAGAGATTTTTGTCCAGAAGGATAGGCAAATGGACTTCATCTTCATGTCAAGGTAAGACTGCAATTTTATTGAAAATGGGATCTTACTAAGAGAGAACAATTCAATATTTAAATGATAAAATTACATTTTTTGGGTATCCTTTTGTTGAACTGTCTGTTTAAAATTAATTGAAGCATCAGACAAAAAAAGCTTTTGAAAATAATATTATATTTTGATTTAGGTCAAAATATAATATTTGTAAACCTGAAGAGTCAGAGCCTCACCAGCCATGAACCTCAGAAGCTTATATATAGACATCTAAGTTTTGTGTGCCCCACCACTTTTGTACATATAAAAACGCCACTGGGTAAGTTGCTGAAATATCGAACTCTTTTGAATTGTCAACTGTCTATATTGTATCAGAGGCCCTTTATGATGCTTATACTGGTCTTCATTTGTATATGCACAGCGTAATTATCTATATTTTATCTTGGTTGTTACAACCAATTTAGCTAGCATTGCCTGCTAGTTAGCTAGCGCGACTTCGTCAGCTTTGAAGGTAAGATTTCAGTAATGAATCGCTAGCAGCTTATATATCAATGATGCTGGGTAACTAACAAGCAGGATTTAGATTGATTATGTGTTTGTATTGTTATTTTGGTTTTTATCTGCTGAACCTGACCGTGTCAGCCATCCTTAGTCGGCTTTTTCTGTATGATATGACTTAACTGCTAGCACTAGTAGAAATGAGGTGGCGTTTGTGATAAATATTTCATTGAATTTTGGGATATACTAACATTTCATTATGTGACATGTTGACTGTACTTAGTTTTTTTTGGTACTGTTCCGTGTTAACTCATCTGTACTGTACAACTAGCCTAGCGCTACTTTTTAATGCTTGATGGCATGCTAGGATAGATTCCTTTGTATTGCACACTAGTTTAATGATTGTTCTTCAAAGGTATTATTCAGTCTTAAAAAAATAATAGCCTACTGAACAGGCTACTCTACAGCTGTGAATGAAGGATGAGCCTAAAACATGGTCATGCATCCAAAATATTTATTTTTAACAAAATAAACACTTAAAAAAAAAATAATTAGCCCTTTTTTAAATTCAGCCTCATATGTCAGCCATGCTGCTACTGCTGGCGGAGGCTGCTGCTGCAGGGTGCTGCTGCTGAAGGAGGGTGCTGCTGCTGGAGGAGGGTGCTGCTGCTGGAGGAGGGTGCTGCTGCTGCTGCAGGGCGCTGCTGCTGAAGGAGGCTGGTGCTGGCAACGGCTGCAGGTGATGACTGCTGAAAGAAGAGGAGGCTGGAGGCTGCTGACGGTGGACCGGGAATGGAGATGCCAAGTACATCGATGGCAACGAGTAAGGTGTTTGGCAGTGTGTCATATGTTATGACCTTCGGTGCAGAGGTCTGTGGGGTCTTCTTTGCCTTCTTACTCTGATTCTTGCTGCCAAGATACCCTTTATGTTTATCCTTCCTCTCAGCCCTGATGCACTTTGATGCAATCCTTAACCTCAGCCTGATGTATGTTGAGAGGATTTCTTTCTTCAGGTCATGGCATGAGGGAAGGTTGCTGTCCAGCAACATGGCTTCTTGTTCCAGCTGTGACACTGCATTTGAGGACTCCATGAGGGAATCGCTCGTCCTCACACGGAACAGCTGCTCCACGTTCTGAACAAGGGTGAAAACCTCATCAGATGGACGGTAATCTGGCTCTAATTTGGTCTGTGTTGAAGATTTATTTTTATTTTAGATTAATCAAATTGTGTTGTTTTTTTTAATGCCGAATGAATCCTTTTCCGGTTTACCAGAGCCCTCTCTGCTCTCTTTCTTAGTAATCTCTCCCTTCTCAGTTGCCTCATTAGATCCTCCACGTGAGCCCGGTCACAACTGGCCCTTGGCAGTCTGGTCCCTGGAGCACCTGACCTCTTCATAGCTGACCCCTGACTGACTGGCTCCTGGCACACTGATCTCTGGTAAGGTGGCCTCTTGATAGTCGGCCCCTGACATACTGGCCCCTAGCAGTCTGCTGACATCTGTCTCACTCTCTCTGTCTGTTATGTCCCTTTCATTCCCTTGGAACTCCACCTCAATATCTCCCTGAATCTCTGTAACAATAACAAGGCAATCTTGCTGTTATATGTGTATGCTGCCTTTACATGTGCACCTATTGTCATTTAAGGGTACACTACACTCCTATAGTGACATTCATCTAAGTTCGTCTATTGGCAATGTTAAAGTATGAAGAAATCTGTAGATGATCTACATGTGGTATATGAGTCTTCAGAGAATCCCTGAACCCTGGTAGTTTTGAAGCTGTATAATCTGAAGGTTGCATTAGGAGTGTAGTCTATCCTTGAATTATATAACATGGGAAACATTGTTAGCTTCATATATCATACCAATGTTTGATGTGCCATAATAGGTGTGGTCATCATTCCTGATATTAACAGCTGGAGGCATACTCCTTGACTGTTGTTGTCTGTTGACCATTGCCATCCATCTCTTCCTTCACTCTACGTCCTTAGGGAAGCCATACATCCGGAACCCCTTCTCGGATCGATGGTTCAACAGGAGCTTCTGTAAATAGTTTTGTAAATAGTTTGAATATTTATCATAGTAATCATTTTTAGTCTCCCACTCTCTCAATTTAATTTATCGTTTCTTTGCCCCACCAGATGTTTTGTTGTCCAAGGGCACTAATTTGGTCTGTGTTGAAGATTGTTTTACACTTTAGATTAATCAAATTGTGTTTTTTGGCTGAATTAATCTCTTTCTGTTGAACCCTAACCCTCTTTGTTCTCCTTCTCATTCATTTGACTTTGTTTTGTTCTAACACACATCACTTTTTCCATACACTGTTCTTAATACTTGTTCACACATGTGTTCGTCCCTTTTACTTTGTTCTTCCTGTTGTTCTTGTTCAAACACATATATCAATTGTTCATCCACTGTTGTGGTAAAATGATATTCATAATCTTAACATGATCATGCTACCCATTGCTGTCTGTCTGTCCCATAGAAGAACATGACAGCGCAGCGCAACTATACGGACGTGACTGCCCTGGCAGTGACAGCAACATAGCCTGCTTGTGCTACCACACTTTCCCCTCAAAATATCGTTAAATAACGAAACTTATAAATAGTGCCAATCCATACAAAGTGTAACCACATCATGTAAATATGAAAGCAATCTTTAAAAAATAACAGCGTTGGTTTAATCTATGACTATTTTGACCATGTTTGTGCTGTTTTTGCCATAGAGAAGCATTGCCACCTAAGTGCGTTTGGAACTATCCCGGCATACATAAACCACGTGACCGGCTGGCGGCGACATCAAAGAGTGTCGTAACTCTTATCTCTCTAGGGCTTTGGATAGCACTCCCTGCGGTTCATCCCTCTCATCTGCGCATGCCCACTAGCCACCTGGTTTACAGGAGCTACAGCTGGGGCAGCGAATGGGGAATTTGTACGTTTAACATTATGTGTAAGTGTAGCATTTGTGGAAACAAAAGACACTCAGATTTGGATACAGATCAACCTCATTCTTGTTACAAAACGTAGTGATCTTTGCATTATACAGGGAGGAGGCGAGATTCGCCTTCTCGTCCCGGGCGGAGAGATTTTCTCCCCCCGCCAGGCCAGTCAGATCCGTGAAGACGGGCAGGGCAGCCCGTACCCGTGAGTGCCGGCACGCCGGTTCCACGGGGTGGGCTGAAGAGGTGGAGGGCGACGCGGGCACGAGATCTCCGTGCCGGCACCTCTCCCTTCGTCTCACCGTCGCGCCGCGCTAGCTCGTCTGCAGAAAAGCCTGTGGAGGAGCGTGCGCTGCGGTGACTCTTCTCTCTACTGAGGTCTTTGAACTTACCGCGGCCCGCCCTCAGGGGAGGGGGGCCGCGCGCGCCGTCACAATGCCGTCTCTTCGAAACGGACATTATGGAAAAAGTGGAATTGTGGAGAGAGATTACTCTTACTCTGGGATAAATGCACTCGTTCTTACTGAATGCATTTTTCCCGCACACACACAACACTCTAGAACTAGAGTTTTCAAACGTAAACCACCATTCCCCTGCGGAGGTCCCTGAACGCACCACGGCCACTCTCACGAGGGCCGCGCGCCCACGTATTAACGCTGTATTTCCCATTCAACGGTGAAATGCATTAATCGGAGCTATTATACCAGGCAAGGTGTGTTTTCTGACAACAGCACGCCGGCAATAGCGTCTCTTGAACCCGCACAGTGCTTTGACAGCACACGGTTTATTCCACTCACGTGCACACGCCCACCTGCTGGCTCCCTATACTGGGGTTTACAGCGGGGGCGGGGAGTGTAGGACAGTGTTTCTTCCGCTGGGGATGGGCAAGAATCAGCCACGGTGCGATTACTCTTTATCCCGTGAGCAAGGAGATCAATCCATAGAGCCCTTCCGGAAAGACGGGGGCTCCCAGGAGATCAACACAGTCCTCTTTGGAAAAATGCCATGCGACGTGATATCCCAGGGACATCACAAGGCAGGCAGCGGCGGCGGCCTGTGATGAAGTAGGGTCGACCCTATATCATGTGAAGCCACCGAGCCCGGGGGAACCGAACCGGGCCTGGGGCAAGGCTCGTGGAACAAGCTACTTATTCGGCCTTGCGGCCCAATAATCGCTCTGACCTGGTGAGGCGGGGGCATCTCTCGCAATGAGCGTGTAGCCCACACATCCGCCGCCATGATCATCATCCAGGGAGAGTACAGCCCTGGGCGGTGGACTTCCATGGACGCCGGACTCGGAAGGAATGGCGAACGTGAAATCACCGCCTCGGCCATATCCTGGTCCCCCAAACACTCGAAGCAGAGGTGTTGGGGGTCGGCGCCCGCTATCTTTCTTTCTCTTTCTTCCTTTCTCTCAAAAAATACATCTCGGACTCAGTGCTAGGCTATCACCTCCGCTCGCTGAAGAGTAAAGGATGGTGGTCAGGAGGAGAGGCCTCCTTTTATACGGAAGTGAGATGCGCACGCATTCAGGTAGGCCCGCCCCGGGGCCGGCTCATCCATGGGCCGGCTACGTCCATAGAAATCTCAGTAGGTGAATGCTTGCATGATAAGGTAGTACCCATAGAGTCCAGTAGAGGGCGGAGCCTGTGAGAGATATAACAAGGCTTTGTTGTGCTGATCAAACCAACTCAAGTAAGCCTGAGTGACCCCCCTCCCCCCGACGAGATCAAATGCAGTGAAATGATTTGGTTGTCTTTAAGTGTATCAATATTGTGAATAAAAAGCTTCAGTACTGCTGTTTCAGATTTAGCAGATGCAAACCCCTTGAGTGATCTCAGAAAAGCTTTGATTCATTTCAATCTGTTTCTCAATAAATGACAGTGAAAATAAACCTGTGAAAGCTGAAGTATGAAATAGTGAAGAATTATTTGAAGGACTAATGTTTCATTGATTCAGTTAAAGTTTTTCTTTTTTTTTTACTTTTGACTGTAAAGTTATAAAATGGTGTGTTAAGGTCAACTCTGAGTAAACAGTAAATTGTTCATGTAATAGTCGTTCGAAATCTGATTTAATAGTTATATACATATTCCGTTTGCATTAATGGAAGTTATACATTTTGGAGTAAGACACAAACCATATTATCTTTTTTTTGGGGGGAAAATGTACTACAAAAAGTTTACATAAAAAAAACGTATGCAATTTACTCAAAAGTACAGAACCTCATTCCAAATGAACACACGAGGACACAGTAGATACTCAATCATGCGTAGGGTTTTACTGTGTAATCCAAACATTAGCGTCAGGGTCAGCTGCTGGTGTATACACTCTGGCTCTGATGGAAGCCAGATGATCTTTTCTTCTTGGGACTTTCCGGCCAAACCTCCCCACGGGCCTGTTCCCCCGGCCCGTGTACCAGGAGGCATCGATGTCTGGATCTGGATAAAAAACAGCTTTCATCATGTATAAATCTCTCTCAATTGGCTGTATTTGACCAGCCGACCATGGTTTTCCTGCCTCAAATATGATGAAAAAATACTGACTCATAACATGTCATAATTACAAATTGTCATACAATGTGTCCTAATTGAGTATGCTAACGAGAAGGATCCTAGGCTATAGGAAGAGGAATGATAGCCGCAGAGGAATTTGTTAAAAGGTTCAGTTCCCCCAAATTACAAAAACACAAACCAACAAACACTCATCATTATTAACCCTGTGAAGCTTAGCACACATTTATTTGTGATGCAACTCCTAGGTAGAGCCATACTTGTTCTTGCATACAAACCAAACCAAAAATAATACAGTTAAATGTATGCTGACCCAAGATCTTTTAAATAAAACAATAAATAGTGCATTTTAAAAAATATATTAAAATGTCAAAGAAATACACAAAAGTAGAATAAAGCCATTACATCATGAAAGATGACCTCCTTACCCTGGGCAATTCATATTAAGTCATATTTAATTTATTTGTATTTAAATGATTACACACATTTGTATTCAATGTGCATCATTCTAATTTAATTCCACCATCCAATCGTCTTATACTTGATAATAAATGTTGTAAGGCAGCAAAGATGTGTGGTTGGTGGGCTGACAGCCGGTGAAACCAAGTACCCCTCAATGCAGTGCGCAATGCCTCAACATGGGCAGAGCTCAACGTGGGCGGAGCTCAACCTTTGAGGCACGTGACGTCCCAACTCCCGCGTTTGGTTAGGTTTAGGGTTAGTGGTTAGGGGTTAATAGGGTTAGGGTAGCATGGAGAGAACAGAATGACTACCCGCGCAGCAGAGTGCAACGCCTCATCTGTTGAGCTCCGCCCACATTGAGGCATTGCGCACTGCACTGCTTCATAGTAAAACTGGAATAACAATATCAACTCAAAGAAATCTATTATTGTAGAACTTTAGTTTTCTGTAAAATTTCAATCATGTGCGAGTGTAATC